AGTCGCCCCGTCAATGTCTGCCGAACCTGCCTTCAGGCTGCTAGTTTGCGAAGGCGGTCGCAGGTTGTCGGCTAGCGTTTCAAGCTCGCCCCTCTCGGATAGGAGGGTACAGTCCCGCTGGGAGGGCAGCGTAGAAGCGCTTTGTTGAATGGCAGCGCCATTCGTGTCCTTATGTTCGATACACTTTCTGGCGTCCGGTCCCTTACCCTGCCCCTGCCCGGTTCTCTGGTGCTCTGCTGTGGACGCGCTGTCATGTCTACACCCTGCATCTTGCCCCAGCGTCCTCTGCCCAACCGCCTCCGCAGTTCCGGCTGATCATAGGCCACATGATCGTCTACGCCTTTCTGGCGAATGATCAGATGTGCCTACCTCGGGCCGGACGAAAGGAAGGATTGGGAGAGGGGGGCTAACGAAATCTGCTGCATGCAGCTGGTTTCGGCCCCACCGAGGGGCCCACTCCTCGATACATAGCCGCCTCTCCAGCGCCCGGAGGCGCCAGGAAAATCAGCTGCGTGGGCTGATTCTCCAACCCCCCCCCTTTGCTATCCCCCCCTTTCTCAGGAGGAGAAAAAACACACAGACACAATTAATCGTCCACTCCCAGGAAAATATGGGAAAGCATGGGAAGTGGGGGGGAAGACAGAAACCCAGAAAACATGGGCAAATATGGGGGATATGTTCATTTGTGTGTATTTATTTGTGTGTCCCAGGGCCCCTTTACTTTCGCCCAGCCCGACTACCCGTTTCAAGGTTGCAGTCTGCAGCCAGCATGCCTGCACAGCCTTTCTGTCTGCGCGGGCGCGGGCGCGGGCGGTCCGCACCCGCGCGGCTGCCTGCGGCGCGGGCCAGGACTTCCGGGCGCCTGGTGGAGAAAAGGCACCCCCAGGAGGAGGAGGAGGAGGAGGAGGAGGAGGAGGAGGAGGAGGCCAGCCACGACTGGGGGAGCTGTGGTCCTTACCCCCCTTGGGGACCCATCGATGTAGACGCCCCTCTCGAGAGGTCTTCGATGCGACGGGTTCCCCCAGGTGGGCAAGGACCACGGCTCCCCCAGGTATGGCCGGTCGGACCCCTTCCGCCGATCAGCGCACGTCGCCTCTGGCTCCCACCGGTCCGCAGAAGATGTCTGCGCACCGCCACCGCGCCTGGCAGCGGCCATCCTGGGCCAGAGGATGGTGTGCACAGGCCCTTCTGGCCTCGACCAGAAGGGCGTCTGTGCCATACTATGGCGCAAGGTTGGCCCTGCGCAGGCCTGGTGGCGTTGCAGCGAGAATTTTACACGACCATCGCCCGGAGGATCGATTTTCGTGGGCCTCCGAAGGCGGTGGATGTGGATAATGTTTGGGCCCCCGGAGGCCAAAATATGTACATATCCACCGTCCGCTGGGGTCTCCAGGACGTCGGTTCCCAGACGGTGGATCTGGATAACCTCCGCCTCGCGCTATTTTGATCCCTTCTGTCAGTCCCCCCTGGTCGGCTCGCAAATTCTGAGTGATAAGATGGGCACGATGGGCTGTAGTATCGTCTGATGGCGCCCCGCTGTAGTATCGTCTGATGGCGCCCCTTGCGCGGCAGCCTTCCAGCTGCAGGGGGAAGAGGAGGACGAGGGGGGGAGACAGTTGAGGGGGACGGAGCGCGAAGAGGGAAAAGGGAAACTGGAAAAGGTGAAGGGAGTTTCAGAGGGGATCTGTTTTGGATTTCGACGCTGCTTAAACAGTGAGCCTGTTAGCAGAGGCCGGTGCGCAACTCGCAGAATATTAATGGGATAGTTCTGCTGGGGCACCCAGGCTGAAGTAAAGCAGGCAGACAGTACCAGCTAGGCAGCCAAGATAACTGCATTTTAGCGCAGCCGACAGTACCGACCGTTCGTAGTACCCAGCACGACGAGAACGAGATGACGGCGGAAACAGAGCGGCTATCAATGCGTTCGGGGAGAGGGCAGGAAGGGATCACCGCGGCTGTCGGGTGTTTGTCCAAGGAGTCACGCAAACAACAGGTTGAGGTAGACCAACTGGCATGGCGCAAGGCGTATAAACACCCATCCTGCTACGGCCACTCGCCGAGTGCCTGAGCTGGTAAGTCATCTCCACCCCTGCCAGGGCACGAACGAGACGACGGCGGGGCAACGGCGGCTATCTGCACTCTGAGGGAAGTGGCGGCGGCGAGTCACCGGGCAGTGCCACCGGTGCGGCACCAATCCAGTTGGACCGCAGCGCCGACGGCGAGCGCCTGCTGCCGAGCGGGCCAGGGCTGAGGGCCCGAGAGGCGAGCCTCTCCTCGGGCCTGCCCGGAGGGCCAGGGCAGGGCCGGAGGCCGAAGTGGCCGCGCCTGCCACAGATTCTTCCTCCTCCTCCTCCTCCTCCTCCTCCTCCTCCTCCTCCTCGTCCCCCTTCTCCTCCTCCTCCTCGTGCCTGGACGAGGATGCAAGCAACCTGCAGCGGCTGTCCTCTTGAATGCTTGCGTGGGCCAGCGATCTCACTCCTGCCACGGCGCTCCGCGGAGCGGCGGCCGACAGCGGCGGTCATCCGCGCACGTACCATGGCATCGCTCGGACGTGTGGTATTTTTCTCGGCGAGGGCCATCGAGGAGCATCTTGGATCATCTTGTGAAGCAATGCAGGCACGAAGCCGAAACATGCAAGAGGAATGGACGTCCGAGCGATGGCAAGTTACGGAGGAGGCAAGACGGTGCACTTGCAGGTCGAACGGTGCGGCACCAATTCCTGCTGGATTGCAGCGTCGACGGCGACCGCGTGCTGCCGGGTCGGTCCGGGCAGGGCACGGGGCCAGAAAGGTTGCGCCAGCAATGAGGCCGCCAGTGGACAGCCCTGACCATGAACACCGCCAGGCTGTCTCTACAGCTGTCTCTGCCTCATCCTGTTCCCCCGAAGGGGCTTGGTCGGACGGGGCTAGGACTTGGATAAATCCGTTCCAGAGCTATCCGAAACGCTCTCAGAGCGTTCCCGAACGCTCTGAGAAGGCCGCGGCGCCCTGTACATCCTGCAGAGCCGCCAGATCTCAGAGATTTTTGATTTATCCTCGCCCGAATTTATCTTCGTCCTGGCTTCGTCTCACCATGAACACCGCCAGGCTGTTTCTACAACTGTCTCCGCCTCGCCCTGTTCCCTCGAAGGGACTTGGGATCCGCCAAAACTGCCGTCTGAATCGCCTGACCATGCACACCGCCAGACTGCCTCGCATAGCAAGGCGCTGCACGCTAGGACGCCTGCAACTGGGCCTGAGAGCGCCTGAAGGGGAAGGGAGCTCGGTGGTCACGAGGCACAAACGTGCGCTTATTTGGCAAAGAGACTGGCAGAGAGCGAGGACGGCAACGGGTCACAGTCCTTCTGATCCGCTCGCATAGGTCCCTTCCCGGCGGGCGGAAACAAGCTTGCAGCGAGCACAAGTGTAGTCAGGCAACTTGCCGAGTGTCTCAGCAGGCCAGCTGTCTTTACGCTTCCCACTGCACGAAACGAGACGGCGGCGGTCAAACAGCGGCTGCCTGCATGTCAAAGTGCGCGGCAGGATTGTGGTGTCATGTAGTGCGAGCGGTGCGGCACCAATCTCCATTAGACCAGTGCCGGCGGCAAACGCCTTTCCCGGTTCGGGCCAGGCTCGGGCGGAGAGCCAGAGCAGGGCAAGACTCGCCTTTGTCTGGGGACGATTTTTTGCTATCACATGTATGTGTTTGGACTACTCTCATTTTTCGCCCAAAACCCGCCTGTAGGGGGACATGCTCTACCTATCACTACCATTGAACGGGAAGATCAGGGCATGGGAGGGCAGTGGCAAACAAATGTTGCACCTACCGCGAGTTTCCGTGACCAGACCGAGGCAAAACATGTTGGTTGGTTGAGCAGCGCATACACAAACAACCTGCTGCGGCCGTTCGCTGGATACCTCAGTGGCAAGTCATCTTCCCCCCTCGCTCGATACAGAACGAGCGGCGACAAACAGCGTCGGCTATCTGCACTGTTGTGCATTGTATTTGCTGGCGTCGGAGACCCCCCTGTGCAGGAGCCAGTTTAGCATGGCATGACCGGAACAGTGTTGACAGGTCCTCTTGGCGCAGGAGATGAGCGCAACAACATAAATCTAGCTACATGGTAGCGGAGTTCGTTTCCCACGCCACGGGAGCTGAGCTCGCGCGCCACGCTACCTCCCCGCCCGAGAGGGCGGCTCGTCTGCAGCGATGGCGGCGATCGAGGTGGTCGACGTGCGGACCGACATGCGGCTGCAGCGGTTCGACGGCACGGATGAGAAGTGGGGGGACTGGAGTCTCCGATTCGAGGCCTACACCGCGCGCTGCTCGGCTTCAAGGAGTTCATGACTGCGGCGGGCCAGAGGCGGGACCCGCTGCTGAACGACCAGCTCGACGAGCGCGCCAGGCAGGTCAGCCAGCGTCTGTGGCACCTGCTGATCACTTACTGTGAGGGCAAGGCGAGGGGGGTGGTCAAACTCTCGCGCAAGAGCGGTCTCGAGGCGTGGCGCCAGCTCAAGTATGAGTACGAGAGTCGTTCAGGGAATCGCTGGACGGCGATGTTGCGGTTCATCCTGAACCCGCAGGACAAGTGGGCCAAGGATCGCGAGGCGGGCATCGACTTGTTTCAGTCGCCGACCGCCTGGGAGGCGATCGTGGCCAAGTATGTGGATCAGAGCGCCGAAGCCGTGTCTGACAATGTCAGGGTGGGCGTGCTGCCGGAGCACGAGCCAGATCCATATCGTGAAGTGCTGCGACAGGCCCCAGAGGAGGTGAAGCTCACGTTCGGCGCAGCTCGCAGTCACATCAGGGGCTACTACAATCAGGGAGGAACTTTCACTCACGTCCCAGACGTGGGCGGGGTCGCCCCGATGCAAGTGGATGCAGTCCGTGCCCAGCTTCCCAACGGCAAGGCTAGCGGCAAGGGCAAGACGCACAAGTCGGACAAGTCAGGCGGGAAGTCGGGCAGATACCAGAAGGGTAAGGACTCGAAGACCAAGTCTAAGGGGCGTGACTGCGGCAAGCACGGCAAGAACCTGACGGAGTACTTTGACGGCGAGCGCGGCTACTGCGGCAAGTGGGGCCACAAGCAGGCAGACTGCAGGAAGAAGAAGGCCGACGACTCGAAGAAGGAGCCAGGTCACACGCGAGCGGTTCAAGGCGACGCAGCTTCGTCATCAGGCCAGCAGCCAGCGGATGGCACGGTGAAGGCGGCGCCGGGCTACTACCACGGCAAGCCCCATGGCTGGGCGTTCGCGGTCGCGGCGCAGACGGACGGCAAGGGTGCGAAGGTCGGCGGCTCCATCCTGATTGACAGCGGCAGCGACGACCATCTCTGCAGGCATAGATTTGTCCCAGAGGCCCCCATCAGCGCTGCAGTGGACGCGCCGAGGCTCTTCCATGTGGAGCAGCGCCCACTACCGACGGCAGGCCTGAGGGGAGTAGAGATGACCATGAAGGAGGGCATCACGGCGACGGCGGACTTCCTCGTCGCTGACGTGAACGACGATCTGCTGAGCATGGGGAAGCTGCTCAGGCAAGGCTCCAGGTTCAACCTCAGCCTGGGGGACGGGCTCTACATGGCGAAGGGCCATCGCAGCGTGCAGCTCACGCTGGAGAGGAACAGCCTCAGGCTCCCCATTGTCTCGGTGGGCCCTGCAGATGAGGCTCACCACTGCCGCGGCGCGGCAGAGCGGCAGGATGCGGCGGCGGCTCCTGTGCTCAACGCGGACAGCTCGATCGGCGAGATGAGGGCCAGGCTGAGGGAGCTGTGCGTGCCCATCTACGGTAACAAGGCGGGGCTTCGGGACAGGCTCGTCGTGGCGGAGGCCGCGGCCAGGCGACCGGAAGCTGAGAGGGCGAACAAGCAAGCAGTCAAGGAGCAGCTCGGGATCCAGCA